GGTATGAGTTTTATCATGGCCCGCCATATCAGTACTGCGGCCCAGTAGATCAAGCATACCCCAAGCTGAATCGATGGGGGCCATACCATGCTGAAGGTAAACACATCCCGAGCCCGAAACATATCGTCCCAAATCTGCAGTAAGCTTGACCATGTCTAGGTCGAATCAACGACAACCCTGAGGTAACTATTCGTTATCGTGGCAGGCCATACCGAGGTGACGTCTAACCAAAGGAAAGTGAGTCTGAAATAAAGAGCCGTATGGGTGTTAAAAACCGGAAGGTATTGCCGTAGTGGTTCCGAGCCTGAAGTAAACCGTCGTCAAGGTTCCGAACCTGAAAATAAATCACTGTAGTAGTCGCAAACCTGAAAGTAACTCACCGTAGTGGCCCCAAGCTTGAAACAAGCCGTCGCCGAGCCCATACCGAGCGTGAAACAATTGTCGTAACGGCACCAGTTCCGAACACAAACTGAGCTACCGCGGTGGTACCAGACCTGAAAATAAATCACTACGAGGGTTCTGATCCTAAAAACGAGACACTGTAGTAGCCTCATGCCTGAAACATATTGACGCCGGCCCCAAACCGAACCAAAAATATACCGTTGCAGTGGCTGGAGGCCTGAAGATAAATCACCTCAGAGGTTCCGAACCTGAAATAGATCGTCACAGTGGTCCCGGACCTGAGAATAAATCACTGCAGCTGTCCCGAACCTGAAAATAAGTCACCGTAGTGAAACAGCTGTCACCGGGCCCATACCGTACCTGAAGCACGTCAGACACCGTAGGACGTAGCCACTTCGTAACAACCCTCGTACCCGTACCGAACCAAACATCATAGTCGACACAAGGTAGCACCAGTCCATCCGACTCCCGCTCTCAGAACATCCCAACTGCGGTAATGTTAGCAATCAAGCAAACTAGCGAAAGCGACGTAGGGAACCTCGGCCATCGGCAGTAGTGAAAACTTCTTAAAATTTGGGGAAAATGTTCAATCCGAGGTCAGGGCTAATGGCGGGTAATCGAGGCGAAATTAGGCCAATCTCCCAATAATCATGGGTTCCCGTCCCTTTCATCRTTTTTCATCATTCTTCCCTTTCCTTAATTCTATTGTCGGAAATAGTAAATCAACTGTAAGTTTCCCAAAATTAAATTTCGAGAAAGTCTAAATAAATGCCTGAATTCCTTTTGTTTCTTTTCTCTTTCACCATTTTTAATCTCTTTGTATGTTTTTAATTTCATTGTCGGGAATCATAAAATAACAAGGGTAAGCCCCCTTGAATTAAATGCCGTGAAAAATAAAGAAATTAAGGGATATTATGTTTTTCCCTTCTCCCCTACTAGTCTTAATCCCTTTTCCCTATCTTTAATTTTGGTACTAAAATAGACAAAAATTAGAGGCCTCATTTCGGCCGCGGTCGTATGTTGCAAAAACGTTGCAGCGGGGTTAGTCCCCGCGATGCCCCCTTGCGGCCGGCCATTCGAGGCGTAGCCTCGGATCGGGCTGAAATGACGGTCCTTAGATATGCCGGGAGCAACTACCCATTTTGCCATCCCTGAGGGTTACTCGTAAGGTTCAGTGCGCCCAAAATCCGGGGTGCCCTGAGTTCCCCTAATTTTTGTTGCATGGTCATACCAGAGTACCGTTAAAACACGGACTTGTCCCTGAGCCTAAGTCCCAAAACCGCAGATTTCAGGCGGCGCACTGCTTGTGGTCGCCTGAGAGTTAGCCCGGACCACTTATCGACGCCCGCGTCGAGCCCTATCCACTTACGTCAAAYGAAGCGGACGAGCTTCAGGGTGATTGCCCGTAAAGGACGCCCACGTCGGCGTTCAATTGTTTTATGTTTCAGTTCGTTATGAGTTCTGCGACTAAGAAGACGCTTCTTGACTCCCCTTTTTCTTTGGAAATTTGGCCTGGAAAGGATTCTCTCTCTCTTCTGACGTCGGCCCGTGATAGGTGCCGACTCGTCAGCTTGTCTAATACTAACTCTTCGTCTGGCTCTCCTGAGCACGAATAACCACTTCTTCCTCTTTCCCATCGCCAACCCTTTGACCTTTCTTTTCTCCACCCTTTTCCTCTTCTTGGAACTCTCTTCCGCCTCATATCGCCTCGGGGGAGCTTCATCCTCCATTTTGGTCTTCCCTTTCCCTTTCGATCCTGTCAGCGATAAGGTGGGTGCAGGCCTGGGTCTAAACAGCTTTAACCTAGCACCTGCCACTGGGTCCTTCCACTTGGTTCTGTCTAATTCTGCTATCATATATGCACCCCAGTCTAGTCCCTTAACCACTATGTAAGGTCCCATCCATCTGTTTGCGAGTTTTCCGGTCCAGGTCCTCTCCAGTGCTGCGTCGTAGAGAAGGACCATATCTCCTATGCCCACCCTCTCCTTTCTGATCCGCACGTTCTTATCCCATCTCTCTTTACCTTTGTCCCTTTCCACTGCCAGACGATCTGCCGCTGTCATAAGGTTGTCTTCCAAGCCGTAGGCTATCTGTCTTGTTCGGGCAGCTATGAGCTCCTCTCGGGACATCTCCTCCGCCCAGTCAATGGTCGTCCAGCTGTTGATGTGAAGTTCTATGGGGAGCGGACAATGTTGCCCAAACCACAAGGTGTAGGGTGGGTACCCAGTGCTAGCCCGGACCGTGACGTTGTCCGCCCATATCGCATATGAAAAATACCGTGGCCAATCACTGTCCTTACCTTTGCGCCACTTGGATAGTGACGCTATCAGAGTCTGATGCCCCCTCTCTATTGGGGAGTTTGATTGTGGGTGGTAGGCGGTGGCCATGGAAGCTCTCGCCCCGACTCTCTTGAACACACTCTGAACCTCGTCAGCTAAAAACTCAGACCCTCTGTCCATCACTATCTTGCTGACGCAACCATACCTAGATAAGTACTCCAGGACGAAGTTCTTCACTTCCTTTGCCGTCTTACTCCTGATAGGTTTACCGTCCATGAACCCAGTGAAATTGTCTCGTATGTTCACGACGTAGTTCATATTGCCTACTCCTTTCGGCATCTTCACCAGATCGATGTGTACCTTTTCTCCTGGTCTGGTGGGATAGGATGGATGGAGAGGCTCTTTGTATTTCACAAGAGCTCTCTTCTGGCATTCCTCGCAGGTCATGCAGTACCTCTCGACGTCCTTATACTGTCCTTCCCACCAGTACAACCTGCGAACATTTTCGTAGGTTCCTTTGACTCCCCTGTGTCCTCCGACCACCCCGTCGTGAAGTTCCGCAACTATCGTCTGACTCTCCTCAGGATCACAGACTACTCGTAAGGGCATCCCCGAGCCGAGCGGCCTTCGAAATAGATGGCCGGCTCTGAGGCAATACTGCACCACTTGTCTCCGAATATCTGATTCTTGACTCTCCTCTCCTGACAGGTGTAGCCCTATCGTTCGGTACTTGCCCTTGTAAAGGTTAACCAAAAATCGTTTGGTTTGCCTCGGCTCTGCCAATGTCAGAGCCCCAGCTACTATCGGGCGCTCGGCCTCAAGAGGGATGCGCGAAAGCCCATCTGCCATGGCATTTTTAGTGCCTAATATCCTCTCAACTGCGTAATCATATAGCCGAATCTGTATCAGCCATCGAGCAATGGTCGGGTCTGTCAGGCTAAAGTCCTTCTTGAGGACAGAGGCAACCGCTGTGGGATTTACTCTCAAGATGAACCGATGCTCATAGATATAGTGTCTGAACGTGTCCAGACACAGCAGAACGGCCAACACTTCCTTCTTGAATTGACTGTAGTTTCGTTCTGCCGTATTAAGCGTCCTACTCTCAAACCTTAACCGCCTTTCCTTTCCTTCAGCTTCTTTCTGAGACATCAGCCCTCCAACTGAACAAGGTCCAGCATCCGTGGATACTATGAAGGGTCTCTCGGTCTCCTCGTCAAAGAGGCATGCCCGGTACGCGTCCTCCCTCCTTAAATTCGTCTTTAAACCCTTGCATAGCGAGTTCCTGCGAGGAATCCCGATAAATTTTTTCAATCTTTCGAAGGAGTAACCTCAATGGCTCAGCCTTCTCCTCATACCCCCGTATGAATATACGCCAGTAACCGCCGGACCTCGGTTGGACTATGTAACGATGACGGCCAGTTCAGGAGTTCGTCTAGCTTCGCCGGATCTGCTCGGCATCCTCTCGAGTCACAGATAAAGCCCAAAATCTTAATAGTCGAGACGGCCCATCGACTCTTTGTTCCGCTGACCGTTACATTCGCATCGTCCAGCTGCTCGAGTACTGCGCAAATATCCGTTAGGTGCTGCTCGACGAATCTTCTAACTCCTGGTACAACCTCGGTCTCATCCTTCTTTACTGGCCCCTTAATAGGAAAATCATCCAGAAAAACTTCAACCTTATCACGGATGAAGTCCTTGAGGACGGCTACCATGGCTCTCTGAAAAACGGCTACCCCATTAGTCCAACCCATAGGGACGACCATCATCTGTATCAGTCCCAATGGCGTGTGCATAGCTATGAGGTGCCTGTCCCTAGGATCAAGCGGTACCTCATCATACCCTGAGAACAGATCACTGACCGAATAAATCGACTTTCCCACGGCGCCTTCAGCCAGTAAATCGGCGTGTGGCACGGAGCCCACGTCTCGTATCGTTACCGCGTTGACTTTCTGAAGGTCCTGGATCCATCGGATCTTGCCATTCGGGTTCCGTAGGAAGAACCATCGATTAGCATAAGCGCTATCAGATGGTTCCGCAACATGGGAAACCATCTTTTCCTTCAAGAAAGCGATAACTTCTTCCTTCTCCTTCTGGCGTATTTCCATCCTGCGTTATTCCAAGGAACATGTGGAATCGTGTAAATCCTTGCTGACTTAGCGTATCGAGGGTCAACCCTACCGCGCTCCGCGTCATTGAAAGCTATAGCGTTATCGCATGTCTTCAGGACTTCTATCACATGTTCTCGCTCCTGTGGGGTTAGATTTCCATCTCCGATGTCCATCCCTGCTACTCTCTCTTCCGTTAGGCGTTGCGGCTCCTTTTTCTTTCTTTCTTTGATTTCTTTGGCGATCTCTTCTTCCAATATCCCTTCCAGTGAAGATCGTTTGCGGCCCACCGCCGCTGGCTTAACCTTTTGAGCTACTCGCTTGTGTCGCTTGGGTAGCCCCCCATAAGGGGCCGTGCCCTTAAAAAAGACACAGATACCACCCCGCCAAATTCCTCATCTGTCTCCTTTGGGTACGAGTTGCCGTCTTCTATCAGCCGACTCCCCAAATCTTTCATTTCCACGATCCGACCTTCTTCCTCTGTGAGCAGTGGTTCATACTTCTTCTCACGAAATCGCACCGCGCGGCCAGAGATAGGTAATGACTTAATCTGATCACTGGGTCTTGCTCCCACTGCAAGAGCTGCTCTGTTCCTCGGGTCCCGAGGCTGCACCGTCTCAATCATCACTCGCGTCCCGTCTGGCTTCTTAATGGACAATGTCTGGCTCCCATCTGGTCGCTCTATCGTTACCGCATGCACGTGGCTTAAGCACGTTCGTCCCAAGAGCGGATCGGAGCTGCAGTTCTTGACTGCAAAGACAGGCAGGGTCACTCGTACCCCTTGGACCTCTATGGCTGCCTCGTGACAAACCCCAGTGATCTGTTGCTTTCTCCCATCAGCAGTCTCTATCTCAAATACGTATGACCTATCAAGGCCCAGGCCAACCTGTACTTCCAGATCCTCGTCTATAATGACAGCCTCACTGCCGTTATCGATCACAGCATCTAGTACCGCTCCATCGTTTATGATCGTCTCCACGGCCCCACTACCAAGTATGTAAGACTTGTCCGGAGACACACCTTCCATCCCATCAAGAAGGACTGTCACCATACGATCTGCTCTGGCAATCACCCCCGTCACTGCTACAGTAGGAGCTTCCGCCTTAGGGGCCCCCTGAGCCTCCTCCGATAGAGGTATGAGAGTCTTCCGCGTGATGATCTGTAACTCATCGCGAGTCGGCTTCGATGCCGCCAGGTACTCCAGAATAGAGCACTGCATGGGCTGCCGAAGGGCCCGCCTCAGTGGCTCGACCGTGTCAATCTCGTCCAGTGAACTCTTCATCAAGAACGTCTTCACTCCCCGCTTTCGCGGCGAAAGAATAACCTCCTCTCCGTCAATCCGTTGTCCATCCTTCTCCGCCATCACGTAATCTGTGTCAGTCTTCTTCGATGTAGACCCTCTCGCCGACTTGGTGGCTGCCACCCTTATGGGTGTGGTCGCCATATCCCCCTCAAAGGTTATCTTGATGCTCTGGCTCCTGACCGACTCCTTTCCTTTACTCGGCTTTACTCTCCTTGCTTCGACATTCTCCTTCATCGAAGGGAACATCGATACATCTTCCAGATCATCTGCCCACTTGACGTACTTGCGGTCGTCAAGCACGACAAGTCCCTCATCTATTGCCCGTTTGAGGTCCGGACAATCTCTCTTAATATGATCATCTCCTCTACAGTAGACGCAAAAGTTCCTGGGAGTGAGTGGCCTGTCGTCTACACCTCTGGAGGTCGATCCTCTCGCTGCTCTGGGGTCAAGGGACTTCGGATATGGTTCTGCAGAAGCGTCATATCCCCCTCTCTCATACCTCCCGCGCGAATCATTGCGGCGGTCTTCCCCAGATCCTAATGGCTCATATCGCCCTCGCAAATGGTTTCGGCGGAAGTCAAGTTTGTCGCGCGGAAAGTCCTTGTAGTCATATGCCTCTGCCTTTATCGCGAGCTTTAGGACTTCTGGGAAGTCAAGTTTGTCGCGGGGAAGGTCTCTAAGTATACTTTTTTGTCTTCCTTTGGACAGGTGTCCGATGAAGATAGTACAACGCTCGACCTCTGAGATCTTCCCCTTCTTTATCAGCGCGTCGGAGATCTTCTAGAAACGCATCCCAAATGCCCGTACGCTCTCATCTTCATCTTGAGTCATCGTCTCAAGGTCCTTGATGGAGTACTTGTTATCCTCCAATTTGTAAAGCTCAACGAGGTTCTTCTTGTACGTACTCCGTTTCCCATCCTTCGGTCGAGCTTCCTTAACTTCCCTACCGAGACTTGGGTCCACATTAAATAGGAAGTTCTCTATAATCTCTTCCTCCGACCACTGACTCCGGCTGGCGTGAAGCTCTCACTTCTCGAGATATTTTGTAATGCGATAACCCCTAAAAGTAGGTGGCTCAAAGGCCTTGTGCGTAATAATATAGCGATCCTTGCTCTCGTAAGGGACCGGATGCGACTCCCCTGTCTTGGGTCGAAGACTCGCCTGGGCGGCGCTCTGTCTCTATCTCTGCCCCTCCAATGGGAATCCCTAGAACTCTCTCGCCATTCGTCTCTGTGCCTATCCGCCATAGTCTCCCTCCGGTCATACTCGGGGAAGCGTCGTCTCGTCGCTTCTCGTCGACCGCTCGAGGTTCCGGTCTTCAGTGCCTCCTGCGGCTCCGTCACGACCGGCTTGCCCATTACGTCGGGCTCTCCGTCATTGGTTTGGTCAGCCCATCTCAGCGGTGCGTCCCGCCTAATTCGTTCCTTCAGATCCCTCAGAGCTCGGTCGGGCGATGTCCTGTACTCCTCTCCTGTCTCTGCCGTGGTCGGTTGTGGCCCCATCGTGTCTGGTTCCATAGGCCACCAGAAGACGCAGTTAGGAACTCTCGTCGGGTGTTACAGCCCGGACCTATGACAGTTGCTGCAGCCCGGACCTGTGACAGAACTCACAGCCCGGACCAATTTCCTTGTCACGGTCCACGCTCGTCACCAACCCTAGCTCTCGACTGCCCTGATCACTACCACCAGTACTCGGTTCCGGTCGCGGATCTCGTGCTGTCCTTCTACCCTAAGAATCCCTGTGTCTAGGTAAACCTCCCCTTCGGGATCGGCCAACAAGACCGCGCCTCTCCGAATCTGCAGTACTTCCATGACAGGATCTCTATGCCTGCGGCAAATCGCAGTCCCAAGCCTAGCCAATGTCTCCTGATCAGCTCCCCTCAAGAGCCTCCGTGCGTCTATCTCCGTCCTCCTTGCTAGGTTTCCTAGCCCGTCCTGAAGCGGGTAGCCTGCCAAAGGTGGAAGCTCCCCTCCTACTGCCATCCAAAGTCGCTCGTCGTCCTTTCTAGCTCCCATTATCTTTCCAAGAGCTTTCAATCTCTATTTCGCCTCCTTCAACTCCCAGACGGCTATAAGGTCATTTGTCTAGCATCTAAGGTAAGTCAGTGTTATAACCACTCGTAACCTCATCGCCGACAGCTCCAATATGTCATAGAATGTCTCAAAATCCTGTTCATCTCCACTATCTTTTATGGCCTCTAAAGTCTTTATCGACTCCTTCCAATACCGATTGTGAGCAGCTAGCACCCTGAGTATTGCACCGTCTGTCACAACTCTCCCTAACTCTCCAACTTTCCTGGCTTCGCTTATCTTCAACTTCTCAGCCTCCCTGGTCGTCTCGTACCATGCCCTTATCCGAGGCCGCTCTTCGAAGGGTGTTACTTGGAGTACATATTTTTTCCTCCGCCCCCCTTCTATTCCAATCCAAAGTCTTGTCCCCCTGGCCTCACGCAGCGCACGGCGGACACACTCTGCCTCCTCAACTATGCACAGTCTGCTATGGAGTTGGAGCTTTACGATCACTAACACCAATGGTCCGTCCAGTCTCCCTACCACATGCAATGAGTATCGATCCGTCGTGTGTAGTGCAGTCTCGCTCATGTCCTGTCACTACCTCCCTGCGTTACCTTGTCCTCCGTCGCCACGCCCTCTGCAGATCGCTCACTGGTTCCTTCGCGTGATACGCCTTTAGCCGTTACCCTCTTCAGAAAGTCTGATCTCCACGCCTGGATAATCTCTCTTTCCTCCGTAAACGGACTCTCCAACTCTCTCGTCACGAGCTCAGCCCTACGCAACTTGTCCTCATTCTGGCACGACCAGATCTCCCTTAACTTGTTCCCCAACTTCTTTACCTGGTTCAAGAGTGACTTTTTAATGCGCTCTCTCACTCTTTCGACTGCCTCACTCTCCCCTTCCATACTCAGTCTTCATTTTTTCCCAGCTCATCCTCTCACCCTTGCTCTAGCCTCCGCTACCGTCTCGTCGTGGAAGTGCTCCGCACACATATAGCCATGTGAACATATCATCACCTCATAGGAAATCGAGGTGTGGAAGGTCATCCGCGCCAGTACATCAGCTCTATGCTCGTGGATCAAATCTTTGGCTCGTTGTCGGCACTCCCTCGCCGTCAAGTCCTCTTCTACGTACGCTCGGAGAAGTATCGTCACAGTGTACCCTGTGCTTACCAGTTGCTCTCCTACACGCATCACTGTGGCCGTCCTCCCCGGCATTCCCTAAGCTGCAGCCTCGAAGAGGAACCTCACATCCTCTAGCCCCACGTAATCGATCTCCGCTCGTCTCCTGCAGTACCTAATCAGATCGACTGGCCTCATACAGTTCACCCAGCTAGTAACGTCTGATGTCGTCAAGCGTCTCTCTACTGGGTGGCCCCCACCTCACACAAATGGCGTAGTATACTTCCCTAAAATGGGGCGCTAAGCCATCCCAGAGCGCGTAAAGTGTGTGGTCCACTGCTCTACTCAAACGTTCTATACTCCCATAGGTCTGCCCTATCACGAAGGCAGGAAGTCCGAATCGCCAATCCTCTCTTGGSTGGAGGGTCGGATGCGGAGGACCGTACACCAACCGGCTCCAACGCGTCCTCCCTCCAGAGAGTCTCGCCAGTTGCTGACTAACGATCACTCTGGCCAACGACTCGCTTCTCCACCAAGCCCTGCTTGCCCCTGCAAGCGTCAGTCCTATTTCTGAATCATGTGTCCTATCCGCTATCAGATGTCCGACCCCTTCTAGGTCATGAGTCCTCTCGGGTCGTTCATCTCTTAGTATCACTGTCCAAAGGAAGAGTCCCTCTGCGAGCCACGTTCCCAGGTATCGTATCGGAACATGCCCTGTTCCCTCTAACGCCACGGGAAGAGGAATGTCGTATCTAACCGCCGTCTCACTGGGTCCCACAAGCTTCCTCACACTATACGATTCAGACTCTCGTGAGAGAACATAAGCTAACCAGGCTATTAAGTCACTCCTCATCTCCCCTTCGACTCTCGATCAGCATCACTCTACTCCCTCCGAGACACCCTATCTCTCGACGTCGCTAACTCCTCAGACAACTTTCCCACTCAGGTCCAGTATGGTCGAGTAGGTGCTGTGCGCTCTCYCGTCTGCTCCATGGAAGTAGATAGTGAACTCGATGTACCTCTGGCTTCTCCGTATCTCCAGGGCATGTTCCATCATGAGCCTGATCTGTCGCTCAACAATCTCTAACGCCTCTCCTTCCCAGCCACCCGTCCTATCTTGTCGCAGGGAAAGAGTCACCCTCAGTATATCCCGGTCTGCCATCCTTCCYACTACTCCCTTCTCTAACCCTCACTCGGATATGTCCTGCCTCTAGTCGTCCCATGCATCTGACATATCCTCGTTTGTATCCTCGTCTATGCTCTGCCCCTATGGTATGTCCTCTTGTCCCTCGGCCTAAAGGAGATGACCCCAACCGTCCTCTTGCGGCGCCTCTCCACCTACCTGCTCTTGTCGCTCACCCCGCGCCAGATCTCCCCAGTCCTCGTCCTGGTCGCCCCAAGGGTCTATGTCATCGAAGTCCTCCCAATCCCGATCCTCGGCTTACCACGCAAGACTGCCAGCCTCTGGATATACCTGTTGGTAATACTCCTCAACCTCCCCGGTCGAGATGAGATGGTCCGGCCTCTCCTCACGAGTCTCAGCTAGCAGCTGTCCCACACCAGCTAAATGATCAGTTGGCCTCCGAGCCTCTCTCTCTAGCGTCGTCCAGAAGGCTAAGGGCTGGTACAGAGAATACAGGTTTGGGCTCCCAGTAGGTACAATGACCCGCAGGAACTCAATCAATTGGAGCCCTCGCTCGCCGACAAGCGGCTCCGCTACAGACTGCGCATACAGCACCCAGTCCCTGTCAGCGTACCCTCGGCAAAGGCCTTCCAAGTCAAGAGCCGCAAAGTAGATCTCACCAAGACGTCTAAGTCCCCAAAGCTCCTCCGCCACGAAGCACGGAAGTGTCACACGCAGTCGACGACTAGGATATGGGAAGTGTCCTCCAATCCTCAAGGTCGTCGTCACTCCCCGAACACCCCCATGCAGCCGCTCTACCTCGTCCCGCACGGAGTCTGCTCAGGCCAGTAAAATCCTCTTCGCGCTCTGCTCCTCTCGCCAATGATCGTGAACGATGCCGTGAAAATAGATTGTGGCTAGCACCTCCCGTGAGTAGTAAATGTGGCCCACTACCTCTATGCTAGTCGTAGCTGGTCGTCGCCACCTCAGACTGTCTAGGTCAAACGTCTCGATGACATACGTCCACAAGTGTACGTATGGGCCCAACACCGTCGATGACCATTGACTCTCTATCGCATCCGCGGAAACCCCTCTGGGCGGCAGATCCAGCGCCACCTTGCCTGGCGCTACTGTCTCTGGAGGTCTAGGCCATCTAGCGTCGTCAATCTGAAGCTCCACTCCATTGGCCTGCTCTATCATCGATCAGCTCTCGCTGATATCAGTAGCTAAGCTCACTCAACCGTCGCTCTAATGTGCTCCTCCGCCTCCTACGCCCGGACGGCTACTCCTATCCTGGGGAAGTGGGCGTCCGTAACGTCGATCTCCTCCTCGTCAACCTCACTCTCTGGGTCGACCCAGTCTGGCTCCCAAGCATCCTCGTCGTCCTCTCGCTCCCAACCCTCGTCGTCAAACTCGTCCTCGACGCGGTATGGTGCCTGTCCTATAGCCTGGTAGTACTCCGCCAACTGATGGCCGTATATCAGAGGTCGCGCGACGTCTTCACTCCACGAGCCCCCCCAGTCGTCTGAGAAGAGCTGCCCGATGCAGGTCACGTACTCAGGGTCGGCTCGGAGCTCACGGTCTAGCCAATCCCAAACGCACGGAGACTGGGGCCACTCGTCGTCTATCGAACGGATCAGTTCTATAAGCTGAACCCTCTCGTCACCCCAACGAGGCCCACCGGTCGCGAGCGAATAATAGATGTAGTCGAGGTCGACAGGCCTTCTCGCCAGGATCTTGAGATCCTGGTAGGCTAGCTATGTCTCGACCACTCCACCAATACCTCCAAAGACACTCTCTACTACGAACGTCGGAACTATCGCCCGCAGACTCCTAACGCTGTACGGGAAAAACTCATCCCGTGCTTTTACGAGCTCGCCCGTGATATCAAGAGGAGGGCGTCCGTGAAATAGGGTCAACGGGTCGCTCGAGTCCTCCGTTCGGAAGGTAGCTACCTCGTCCCTCAGGTAGCGTAACGCCCTGCTAACCGCGCCACTAGTCCCGGTCGTCGCGAGGCTCAGCACGGCCTCTGTAACCGCGCCCGGTCCTAAGTACAAGTAGGCCCTTACTACGCCCACTCCTTGCCCAGGTTGTGCGTCCAAAGCCACACGTCCTCGGACAGGATTATGGACCTCCACGCAAACTGGTCGTCAACG